ACTCTTTCCTCACCAACTGGGTAGGCTGGGTCTGAGAGTCAGTTTCAGGTTCTAACAGTCATCCAAGGCAGCATTTTCTTATACATTTAACTGCTCCATGATGAATTTACATAATATGGCACCTTGCTCTGTAAAACAAGACACCATATTAAATCCGGCTAGCTCTAGCCTGCCCGATCTCAGCATCATTTTTGGCCACTGACACACGAAGAGCCTATGTTCTCAGCATTCCATGGGCATTTAATTTATTGCATTGGCCATTTTTGTAATTTTCCCCTCACTAACATAGTCCATTTTTAAAAAATTTATTTATTTTTAATTTATTTATTTTTGGCTGCATTTGGTCTTCGTTGCTGCTCGCGGGCGTTCTCTAGTTGCGGCGAGCAGGGGCCGCTCTTCATTGTGGTACGCGGGCTTCTCATTGCGGTGGCCTCTCTTGTTGAAGAGCACGGGCTCTAGGCGCACGGGCCTCAGCAGTTGCAGCATGTGGGCTCAGTAGTTGTGGCTCGCAGGCTCAGTAGTTGTGGCACATGGGCTCAGTTGCTCCGCGGCATGTGGGATCCTCCTGGACCAGGGCTTGAACCCGTGTCCCCTGCATTGGCAGGCAGACTCCCAACCACTGCGCCACCAGGGAAGCCCCATAGTCCATTTTTAATAATGCCTTTTTTGAGATGTAAAATTCATAAAATTCACCCATTTAAAGTATATAATTCAGTGTTTCTTAGTATATTCACAGAGTTATATGACAATCACCATAGTCAATTTTAGAACATTTTCATCACTTCAAAAAGAAACCTGTTCCCATTAGCTGTCACTCCACATTTCTCACCTTCCTCCTCAGCTCTAGGCAACCATTAATCTACTTTCTGTCTCTACAGATCTGACTGTTCTCTGGACATATCATATAAATGGAATCAGACACTATGTAGTCCTTTGTGACTGGCTTCTTTCACTTAGCATGATGTTTTCAAGGTTTCATCTATGATGTAGCACGCACCAGTACTTCATTTCTTTTTGTTGCCAAATAGTATTCTGTTGTATGGATATACCACACTTTATTTATCCATTTGTCACTTGATAGACATTTGAGTTGTTTCCACGTTTGGGCTATTATGACTATAAACGTTCATGTATAAGTTTTTGTGTCAACATATTCTTTTATTTCTCTTTGGTATATACCTAGGAGTGGAATTGCTGTCTCATATGATAACTCTTTTAATCTTTTGAGAAACTGCCAGACTGTTTTCCAAAGGGGCTGTACCATTTTACATTCCCATCAGCAGTGTATGAGTGTTTCAATGTCTCCACATTCTCACCAACACTTGTTTTTACTTGTCTTTTTTATTATAGCCATCCTAATGGGTGTGAAGTAGTATCTCACCCTGGGTTTAATTTGTGTTTCCTTGATGGTTAATGATGTTGAGCAGCTTTTCATGTGCTTACTGGCCATTTTTATATCTTCTTTGGAGAAATGTCTATTCAGATCCATTGCCCATTTTTATATTCTGTTGTTTTTCTTATATATTTTGAGTTTAGGAGATCTTTAAGTATTCTGCATACTCGATCCTTCTCAGATATATGATTTGCAAAAACTTTCTCCCAAACTGTGGGTTGTCTTTTTACTTCACAGTTTCCTTTGAAGCACAAACATTTTCAAGTTTGATGAAGTCCAATTTATTTATTTTTTTCTTTTGTTGCTTATTGTTTTAGTATCATATCTAAGAAACCATTGCTTAATCCAGGTCACAGAGATTTATGCCTATGTTTTCTTCCAAAAGTTTTATAGTTTTAGCTCTTACATTTAGGTCTTTGATTTATTTTGAGTTAATTCTTGTATATCATGTGAGTTCATATGCTGTTTTTGAAAACAAGTTACAATGATAAATAATCATGAGTTTAAAAAATATACAACTGTCTGGTTTTAATTGAAAATCACGTTATAGTTCACTAGACGCACCATTTGATAGAATGAAAATAAACTAATGAGGCTGATACTCTCAGTATTTACTTTAAAAATCCAATAAGCTAAGAATTGTTAGAAAAGGCCTTACACATTTTTGTTTTTTAAAAGTCAACTGCTTTCAATAAAGATAAATGAAACTATATTTTAACATGACATAAAGTAATATTACATAAAGTAATATTTTTAAAATACATTAAAAACATCTTCACTCCCCTATTAGAATGATATGGGCTTCAGTTTTAACACTGAAATGGTTCTCAATCAGGGGCGATTTTGCACCCCTACCAGGGATATCTGGCGATATTTGGAGACATTTTGGCTGTCACAACTTAGGAGGGGGGTGGTGCTACCAGCATCCATTAGACAGAGGACAGAGATGCTGCTAACCAGCCAAGAACGCATAGAACAAGCCACATGACAAGGAATCATCCAGCCCCAAATACCTCTTGTGCTGACATTGAAAACCCTACTTTCCCCGCCCCCAGTTTTATTGAGATATAATTGGCATACAGCACGGTAGAAGTTTAAGGTGTACAGCATAAAGACTTGACTTACATACATCATGAAATGATTACCAGTTTAGTGACCATCCATTATCTCATGTATATACAAAAAAAGAAAAAGAAAAAAATGTGAAAAACCCTACTTTGAATCAGTGGCCTCTATCAGATATATTCAAAACGAGATGTGAGTTTGCAAACCCTTTTCCCCTCAGTTACAACATCATGGGTTTCTCCCATCACAATACTGAGCCTTTCGGAAGTCAGAATGTGCCCCAGCACCTCACTGCCATCAAAATCCTTTATGGTGACAAAAATCTCTCAGGTCTTCTCTGTGGGGATCATTGGGAAAACACTTGCTTTCCATGCTTAATTCATTTTATATTTGTATGTGTTCCTTTTTTGAATTTTAAGATATATTGGGATAACACATACCCTGTCCAACTTATCCGGGTATCCAACCTCCTGGTATAAGGTACTTTATCTGATTTTAGAACAGCAGCAGTAGTCGATGATAATGTGTGTGCTCACTGTATCAGACACTATGCTAACCACTCTTCTGCACTATCTGATTTACTTTTCTCAACAATTCTGAGAGAGTGACTGTTATTATTCACATTTTACAGCCAGAGAAACGGAGAAACGGTGAGATTTGCCCAAGATCATGTTGCTGGAGACATCATTACTCCAAGTCAGGGCTTAAGCCTGGTGTGGGGTAACTGTGACATGCTGGCGTGTCACAAAGAATTTGATTACTTATTATGGGTAATCACAGATGGACATTTGCTGACATTTAGGCTGTGCCCTCACTCAACTGGGCTACGGTAGATGTACTTTCACTGAATGGACACACACTAGTAGCCACAGGAAATCCTGTCTCACCTGGGACATACCCGTGGAAAGGTGGCTCATCTGTGGACCATCAGCCATCCTTCATATCACGGTGGACAGTGTCTGAGGACTGCTGCTTAAGGAAAACTAGGGTATCTGTGGCACCACGTATGTTCTTGACACTCATCCACAAATCAGTCACGGCTTGATTTTCTACCTATTGGCCGTCCTCTCATAATGTGCTCCAACTCCCAAATGTCCCTCTTGACTTGTGGCCTAAATGCATTTGCACATACACCAGCCGCACTCTCCGAGCCCCTGTGTGTACCGATCAGTGTGCTAGGCCCTGCTCACCTCAGCTCTCCCGGAGTTGCGCTCACACTCCAGTCTCCTGATCTTGCACCCACCACTCTTAGTGGAACAGCACAGTGGTAAACTATCTTGTAAAAAGAACAAAAACAAAAAACACTCATACTGCAGTCAAACAGTAGCATTTCCCTCCCAGGCTTTGTCCTTCTATGTCCCAGGCACAGAGCTCTCTTCTCATAGCTGATAGTATTTCCCTCTCAGAGGGGCTTTTAGGAAAGGATTTGAAGTGTGAGTGAGTGAGTGAAGATATGCATTTTGCTGGTACAAAGATTGGAGACGGAACGGCTCTCCAATTTAGCCATTTTGGGGGTGCAGCAAGAAGTGAGGTGAGATTCTGCTCACATCAGCCTTCCCCATATCCTCCTGACCTCCCCGAATGAAAGGGAGTGGGGAGAGAGCAATGATCTAACTAGGAGGTTGCCCTCTTCCCCCAAATCTGAAGAAGGACCCTGGTTTTGGTTCTAGATTGGGGCAAGTCTTTCTTTGCTCTTGGCCTCAGTTTCCTCTTGAAGGGAGCATGTGTACACTGGATGATCTGTAAGCATCCTGGCAACCGTAAACTTCTTTGAATCTCTACGATACTGAGTTAAAGTGAAGTCCATGTGATTCAAATCCACCCTGATTAGGAATCCGCCTTAGTAGTGAGCCCACACCTAGAAGCCTGTCCATGTTTGAAGAAGAGAACACAGTGATTGGTTGATGCTATCTTTCTTGAGAGACCCATCTCCACGGGCAACGTTCAAAATATTTAACAGCCAGCATGCATGAGCACGACAGTCAGGAGGGTAGAAAGCAGCTGGTAGGGCCAACCAGGGCTGCAGCCTGAGAGCGTGCCTGGCCCTTCCTGCAGTCCTGCCCAGCTTTCTCTGCCTCTTTTTTGGGTCTGCCTCTTCCTGCCTGATTCTGCATCCAGGGCCCTAACTCAAACCCCCCGGGCTGCTTCTCTCCCCAACCACTTTCTACACAACGGCTGTAAATACCCTCATGCATCCAAACACCTATTTCTCCCTCAGCAGATGCTTTTGGAGCCCTCTGCTGTGCTCAGCCCCTGGTCAGCTGACCCCTCACCCCCTTGCCTTTAAAACAATGTTAGAGGCTGGGAAACAGGTATGGTTAAGAGACCCGAGTCCTAGCCTAGCTCTGCCCCTGTCTGCCAGTGACCTTGGGCAAGCCTCTGCCCCTCCCATGTTGTTAGTTTCCTTACATGTAAATGAGCGACTTAGATTGAGCTCCCCGTTTTTCAGTGATGAGTTTCTGGAGGAATGCAAGTCTTCAGCAGCTGACTGCTCTCTCTCTTTCTCTCTCTCTGTGCACCTGCCCCGCAACTGCCACTGTAGAATGCACTGCTGCCTGCGGGCCTGAGGCAGAAGGATCAGACCACCAAGGCGCCCACGGGCCCCTTTAAAAGGGAGGAGCTCTTGGATCACTTGGAAAAGCAAGCAAAGGAGTTTAAGGACCGAGAAGATCTGGTCCCCTACACAGGGGAGAAGCGAGGTACTGAACAATGTTGCCCTTTTGAGTACGTCATTCCCCATGATCATTGAGTGGCAGCTGTATGCCAGGCCCTGTGTTGGGCCAGATGTGACTGGACCTCCTTGCCCTCATCCCTGCCTGGCCCAAAGTCACAAACCGAACTCCAAAAGCATCGGCGCATGGGGTAGATTTAGTGAAGTTTTGGGGTAAACCAGACCCGTAACACTCCCCTCAGTCCCCTTTAACTAGGGTGTCCTGATTATTTTTCATACAAACCTGATACTGTCAAAAGGGAAAGAAGAAACTATTAAAATGGTATCAGGACATGAGGCCCAAACAAGACCTGTCCCCTCCAAACCAGGAACAAGAGATATCCTGTCTCTACCCTAATTATCCCTTCTTTTTCCCCAAAGTTCCTCTCTCTGGCAGCTGCAGCTTCCCTTCCTTCATCTGCCCCTCTAAGACTCTCTGCCCCAGACTAAGGCAAGCCATCTAGAAGGCTCCGGGGAGCAGAGAGGCACTCCAACTATCCAACCCTTCCAGAACTTCCCCTTCACTCCAAATCATCCTCCTGTCCTCTGGTACCATACTCACCCTTGCTCACTGCCCTGCTGCCCCACAGGCCTCTTTCTCTTCCCCAAACACTCCAAGCTCTTTCCTACCTCAGGACCTTTGCACGTATGCCCTCTGCATGGAATGCTGGTCCTCTGTCCGCCTCCGAGCTGGCTTCAGGGCTGGCTTCTCTCCTCTGTAAGAGGCGTAATGGTTAGAAACATAGCCTGGAGTTGGGTCTACTTTGGCTACAGTCTTGGCACTACCCCTTACTAGGCTGTGTGAACTCAAGTACATTTGTTTGTTTGGCCATGCCACGTGGCTTACAGGATCTTAGTCCCCGACCAGGGATCTAACCTGTGCCCCCTGCAGTGGAAGTGCAGTCTTAACCACTGGACCGCCAGGGAATTCCCTTGAGTACATTTTTAAACCTGCTGTGCCTCCATTTCCTCATCTGTAAAATGGGGTTGATGACTATTACCAGCCTTCTGAGGGAGTTATGAAGATTGAGTTAAGATCTATATAAAGCACTTAAAACAGCACCCGGTGCATCATGAATGCTATGTCAATATTAGCTATTATTACCCTTTCGGTCTCAACTGTACTGTCTCCTCTTTCAGGAAAGCCTTTCCGGTCTCCACTGTTTAGGACATTCCATCCCTTCAATTCCCCCTTGGTTATTCTCCATCTCGGGAGCCTGTGTGTGTTCTTCAGAGCAATTCTTATTTTATCATTATGTATTTATTTACACTGGCCTGTACGCTCCATGAGGCAGGGACTCAGCTGCTTTTGCTTACACAGTTCCCCCAGCACCCAGCACAGGGCCTAGTGTACAGTAGGGCTCAGGAGAGAGGTGTTGAATGAATGAATGAGTTCAAATTAAATATATGCATAATGGATCTTACAGGCTTTTTCCTTCAAATATAAGCTCCATGGGTACAAGTACCACATCTGTCTAGTTCATTGTTATATCTCTATACCTCAAAAACCCTAGCATGTAGTAGGCACCTAGTAAAATATTTGTTGAATGAAAGCATTAATTCTAATTAATTAATTAATTGGGTAATTAATTGTCTGTGTTCCACCTCTTCCATTCTCCTCACCCCCAAGAATGTCGGCATGATGAGCCAAGGATCCCTGTCTTTCTGTGTCCCTGTCGTATTAGCACAATGCTGCACAAAGTAGCTGCCTGATAAATAATAAAATGAAAGAGCAAGCAGGTGTGGGCATTTCAGGGAGGACTTCTAGCCATCCCAGTGCCTGGAATTGAACCTCAGTCCAGATTTTACTGAAAACTTGGAAGGTCAGGGAAGCCCAGGAGACATCTGGATTACAGAGCTTTGGAAGAATTGTGTGGTCTGAGGCACCCTGGAGCTGGCGGCAGGGGAAGGGGCCCTTGACCATAAGGGCTGGGGGTGCCTGGCTGAGAGCGCAGGCACAAGATGGTTTTAAGCAAGGTACTTGTACCATGAGGAGTGATTTCTGTGCAGCAGGTGAAGATAATAAAATCTCTGGATTTCATGGGGACTTAAAACTCCCACTATCCCCACTACACATTTGAAAAATGGGGAAACCAAGGCTGTGAGAGAGTCAGCAGCAGACCTGAGTGGACAGTTGGTGAGTCATTACTAACATCTGTTCCCTTGTGTGCCCATCCCTCTCCCAGGGGAGGAGCTGGAGATGAGATGGGGGATGGGGAAGGGAATCGGGGCGATATATAAACCAGTCCTGCTGCCCCTTTGCAGAGCGTTGACCTGGCCCCAAGCCGGGAACAGCTCACCAGACTCCCAGAGCCTGAGTGCCCTCATGAAAAACCAGACTGACCCAAGGAGGGTAGCTAGAATTTATTCTATTTTCATATTATGACAAGCCTAAAAGGCTTATCATCACCACCACCACCAGCATCGTCATCATAAAATATTTACATGATGATTGTTGGAGTCCATGTATATTGAATAAGTACAGTCTCAACAGAGAGTGTGGGGAAGGAGACCTTCCAGCTCTAACAGGCAGACGCAGGGCCGTTCAGTCCAGCTCTACTGAGCATTTGCCCCACGCTGGGCCTAGAGCGAGCCTAGGCTGAGGGGAAATAGCATTTCAGGCACTACAAAACCCAGCAGGATGTGGTAAGACCCATAAACTGGTACAAAGTCCTGAGGGATTTGGATTTTCCCTCACTCTCACTCAAGTGGGGGAATCAGAATAAAGTTCCATGCAGGGTATTTTCATTATACATATTTGGCTGCATGTGCTGAAGAAACAAAGTAAGAGAGACTTAAAATGGAAGTTTAGTTTTCTTTCACTTAGTAGAGCTGCAGGGTTAGGCATTCCAGGGCTTGTAAGACATCTTCCTTGGCATTAGGAATCAAGACCCTTTCCAGTTTTTCATTCTGCCATCCTTGTAATATATTCTTGTCCTCATGGTCCATCTAGTTGCTGAGGCTCCAGTCATCACACCCACATCCCAACTAGTAAGATGAAGGAAGGGAAGACGTCTGAGTCCCTCTTATAGTGTCTTAGAGTCACCACCCTCATGGAGGCACCTGCTGCAGGGGCATAATAAACCATAGGTCTTAAATATTTCCTGAATGTTCATCCTAGTCACTGCATCAGTCATTTTCAGAGTTCATTTTCCTTTTAGCCATGTTGATTTGCTGTTTTCCAGATGCACCTCTGGTGAAGGTTATGATACATTTTCTCCCAGATGATTTTGCTGACTGTTCTGCTTGTATAGTAATTGATCTTTGCTGTAAACTATTTATTTATTTATTTATTTTATAAACTTATTTGTTTATTTTTTGGCTGCGTTGGGTCATCGTTGCTTCACGCGGGCTTTCTCTAGTTGTGACGAGCAGGGGCTACTCTTCGTTGTGGTGCACGGGCTTCTCCTTGCGGTGGCTTCTCTTGTTGCAGAGCACGGGCTCTAAGCACGCAGCCTTCAGTAGTTGTGGCACACAGGCTCAGTCGTGTGGCTTGCAGGCTCTACAGCGCAGGCTCAGTAGTTGTGGTGCACAGGCTTAGTTGCTCCGTGGCATGTGAGATCTTCCCGGACCGGGGCTTGAACCCGTGTCCCCTGCCCTGGCAGGCAGATTCTTAACCACTGCACCACCAGGGAAGCCCCTGTAAACAATTTAAATAACAAAACAAAGTAATACTCTGCTGAGAGGTAGGCACTGATCCCATTTTAGTGAATATCCTTCTGAACATTGCTCTTCCCACCCCTCCCCACCTCTGGTCCAAGTCACTGTCATCTCTCATGTGGACTTTTGAAGGAGCCTCCTAACCATCTCCTGGCTTCCATCCTGGCCCCACTGCAGGCTATTCTCAATCAGTAGCCAAAATGAGCAGGTTTTTAAAAATTGAAGTAAAATTCACATAACATAACGTTAAGTATTTTCAAGTGAACAATTCAGTGGCATTTAGTACACACACAGTGTTGTGCAACTACCATCTCTATCTGGATCCAAAACATTTTCATCACTCCAAAATAAAACCCTGTATCCGATAAGCAGTTATTCCCCATGCCCCTCGCTCCCAGCCCCTGGCAACCACCAATCTGTTTCTATGGATTTACCTATTCTGGATATCTCTTATAAATTAAATCATATAATATGTGACTTTGCGTGTCTGGCTTCTTTCACTTAGAATATTATTTTCGAGACTCATTCATTCCCTTTTATTACTGAATAATATTCCACAATTTGTCTATTGACAAACATTTTGGTTGTTTCCACTTTTTGGCTGTCGTGATTGGGGTGCTGTGAGTATTCCTATACAAGTATTTGTATGGGTAACTTTTGGGTATATACCTAGGAGTGGAATTGCTGGATCGTATGGTAATTCTGTGTTTAATTTTTTGAAGAACTGCCAACCAGTTTTCCCAAGCAACTGCACCCTTTTACATTCCCATCAGCAATATATGAGGGTTCCAATTTCTCCACATCCTTGCCAACATTTGTTATTTTCCATTTTGGTTTTTGGTTTATGTTATAGCCATTATCATGGTTGTGAAGTGGTATCTCATTGTGGTTTTGATTTGCATTTGTCTAATGACCAATGATGTTGAGCATCTTGTCATGTGCTTGGCCATCTGTACAGTTGACTCTTCATATCCGCAGGTTCCATATCCGCGGATTCAGCCAACTGGGGATCAAAAATATTCATAAAAATTCCGCACAGTTTAAAAAGGCAAAACTTGAATTTGCCACGCACTGGCAACTATTTACATAGAATTTACATTGTATTAGGTATTATACGTAACCTAGAGATGATCTAAAGTATACAGGAGGATGTGTGTAGGTTATATGCAAATACTATACCATTTTATATAAGGGACTTGAGCATCCAATCCCCCTCAGATACCTAGAGGCAATTGTATATCCTCTTTGGAGAAATGTCTTTAAGTCCTTTGCCCATTTTTAAATTGGGTTGTTTTTCTTTTTGTTGTTGAGTTGTAAAAGTTCTTTATATATTCTGAATACTAGACCCTATCAGGTATATGATTTGTAAATATTTTCTCCTCTTTTGTATGTTATCTTTCCACTTTCTTGATAATGTCCTTTGATACACAAAAGTTTTATTTTGGTTAAGTTCAATTGATCTATTTTGGTTAAGTTCGATTGATCTATTTTTCTTTAGTTGCTTATTCTTTTGTTGTCATATCTAGGACTACTTTGCCAAATCTAAGTAAGGTCATAAAGATTTACACTTATGTTTTCTTCTAAGAATTTTGTAATTTTAGGTATTATATTTAAATCATTGATCCATTTCCAGTTGGTTTTTGTGTATGGTATGAGATAGGGGTCCAGCTTTATCTTTCTGCATGTGGATATCCAGTTGTCCCACACCACTTCTTGAAGAAACTATTCTTTCCCCATTCAATGGACTTGGCACCCTTGTCAAAAATCAACTTGCCATAGATGTATAGGTTTATTTCTGGACTCTCAATTCTATTCCATTTTTTTATGTCTATCCGTATGTCAGTGTCACACCGTTTAACTTTGTAGTAAGTTTTGAAATCAGGAAGTCTGAGTCCTCCAACTTTGTTCTTTATCAAGATTGTTTTGGTTATTTGGAGCCCCTTACAATTCCATATGAATTTGAGGACTGGCTTTTCCATTTCCAAAAAAAAGGAGGAGGACCATTGGAATTTTGATAAGGATGGCGTTGAATCTGTAGATTGCTTTGGGCAATATTGCCATTTTAATATTGTCTTCCAGTCCATGAACTTGGGATATCTTTCTGTTTATTTAGGTCTTCTTTCCTTTCTTTCAACAATGTTTTATAGTGTTCCATGCACAAGTCTTTCACCTCTTTGGTTAAATTTATTCCTACGTATTTTATTCTTTTGGATTGTATTGTAGATGAAATTATTTTCCTAATTTCCCTTTCAGATTGTTATTTGCTGGTGTACCCCACTTATTTGTATATGTTAATCTTGTACCCTGTTTTTTTGTGTGTGTGTGGAACATTTTCTGCATATAACATCGTGTCATCTGCGAACAGAGATCATTTTACTTCTTCCTTTCCAGTCTGGATGCCATGTATTTCTTTTTCTTGTCCATTTGCTCTGACTAGAACTTTCAATACACAGTTGGGTAGGAGCAATGAAAGCAGGCATCCTTGTCTTGTCGCTGGTCTGAGCAGCTCATTTCCTCACTCTGTCAGGGCCCAGCTCACAGGTCATCTTCCCTGACCACGCTACCCAGGATAGCAGAGCCCACCTCACCCACACCCCAGCGTGGAACTTCCTAGTCTTTTGCTTGGCTTTATTTTCCTTTGTGATTCTTAGTACTCTCTGGTATCTTTACATGTTTGTTTATTATCTGTCTTCTTTCACTAAACTGTTCACTGCTGTCCCCCTAGCTCCAAGAAAGGTGCTGGGCACATAGGAAGTATTCAGTAAATATGTGTTGCATGGATAAATATATATTGATATATGTGCAATTTTCATAAATGGAATTAAATAATTCATGCTATTTTGTAAACTTGCTTTTTCACACAAGATTTTGTCTTGGGCATTTTCCTTTCATAGTAAGTAGAGATCTCCACCATCCTTTATAATAATAACTGCTAGAACACCATCGTGTGGATGCCCCATAATTCCTTTAACAATGCCTCTTGGGGCACACTGCAGCGACCGACCAACCTCTTTGCTCTCTCGTTCAATTATCAGTCTGACACTGTAAAAATATAATGTCCCAAGAGACATTATATTTTCTCCCTATGCCTCTTTTAATAATCTGAGTGTATTTTATTTATTTGGTTTAGAAATGTTTCTCAATTTTTCTCTCATACCAGAACGTTTGTTTAGAGTATTCCAGACCCTGGCATTTTATTATATTTTTCTTTTGTATCTTTTCCTACTTACAGATTGTTAAAATTAATAACCAATGTTTTCAGTAGTGAGCAGTCTCCCTTGACCAAGTTATAAAGTTCTTCTTTTCAAACGTGCAGGGTGCTTTGTTGGAGATCTCTGATTCCCTTTCTTTGGACAAGTTTGGCACCGGGTCCCCAGAGGGAGAAGTTTTAATGGAATCTCGGCATCGAGGGATCCACAGGGCTTTGGGACGGTCCACCCAGGGCCCCAGTGCAGCTGCACTCCCTGTAATGGGCACCCCGTGTGTTTTCAGGAAAAGTCTGGGTCCCCAAGCAGAAGCCGATGGACCCCGTGCTGGAAAGTGTGACACTGGAGCCAGAGCTGGAGGAGGCCCTGGCAAATGCCTCGGATGCGGAACTCTGTGACATCGCAGGTAAGAGGCGTTCCTGATGCTTCCCCATGTCCTCCAAAAGCATTTGACCCACGTCTGCAGGCGAGCCTTGGATGGTTTATTTCAACATAAACACCCTCTCTGTTTCTAACAAGGACTAGAGCAGATAGAACTCTATTATTAAAAACCGAAATGAGTAAAATGGAGTTAAAACCAAAACCCTTCCCACCACGGAGCCAGCTGTTGCTGCCATGAGACCCCATCCCAGAGGGTTGTGCAAGGCAGCCGGGGCCCTTCACCAGCCATGGCATCAAATCCTGCTCAGGCCGCCTGGGAAGACAGGATAGAGGGGGGAAGACAGAGGGCTGCCGGCATCTCAGGTCCAGGAGGCTCACAGAGGGCTGGAGCAAGTCATCTGATTCTACCATTTTGCACAGCTTGGAGAGCCGGGCTTGGAGGCGATCACCCCATATCTCATATTTGTACAACACCCTCCATCTTCATGTGTGTTTCCATGTGATCTTCACAAACAGCCCCTAAAACTCCAGAAAGTGGCCTGATATCCAGAGCTTTTTGCCACCTGCTCTTTTCCCCTTTTTACTGTCTGGTCCCCGTCCCACTCGCCCGTGTCCCTTCCCCACGGGGGGTCAGGCTCTGGCCACAGTGTGCCCACCACCCTGCTGTGCTCCCTGGCCCAGTGAGGTAGCTGGTCTTTTTCTTTTGCAGCCTTGGGGGCTACTAACCCTCACCCAGATGATGACAGGAGTGTGGATGGGGTAGGGAGAGACTCAAGGCAAGTGGGAAGGGGAGAGGAAAGACACGGTCAACTGTGAGGTCAAGGGAGGAGCCCAGACCTGGCTCCAGAGACTAAGTGGACGTTGGTGCCATTAATGAAGGTGCGTTAGTCTGCTCAGGCTGCCCTAACGAAATACCACAGGCTGGTGGCTTAAATAACAGAAATGTATTTTCTCAATAGTTCTGGAGGTTAGATGTCCAAGATCAAGGTGTCCACAGTCTTGGTTTCCTCTGAGCCCTCTCTCCTTGATTCCAGATGACCGTATCTCATGGTGTCCCTCTGTGCATGTGTCCCCTTGTGTCCCTTTGTGTGTCCTAATCTTCTTCTTGTAAGTACACCAGACAGATTGGATTGGGACCCACCCTAACAGGCTCATTGACACTTAATCACTTCTTTAAAAACCTTATCTCCAAATATAGTTACAAATTCTAAGGTACTAGAAATTACTTTATTCAACATATTGGAGGGACAAATCAGGACAAAATCAACAATTTTGGAGGGACACAGTTCAACCATAACAGTGGGGAGGAGAAGGTGTAGGGGAAATACGGAGTTCAGTTTGGGACCTTTAGAGTTCAGGGTGCCTGTGGGCCACCCAATCAAGGGCAGTTGTACATGAAAGGCTTTATTTTTAAAATTATTCATTTATTTATTTTTGGCTGCGTTGGGTCTTCGTTGCTGCGCGCGGGCTTTCTCTAGTTACAGCGAGCGGGGGCTACTCTTCGTTGCAGTGCTCTGGCTTCTCACTGCGGTGGCTTCACTTGTTGCAGAGCACAGGCTGTAGGCACGTGGGCTTCAGTAGTTGTGGCTCGCGGGCTCTCGAGTGCAGGCTCAGTAGCTGTGGCACACGGGGTTAGTTACTCCACAGTATGTGGGATCTTCCCGAACCAGGGATTGAACCCGTGTCCCCTTCATTGGCAGGTGGATTCTTCTTAACCACTGCGCCACCAGGGAAGTCCCTACATGAAAGTCTTGAGTTCTGCAAGGGGTCCACACTGGAGATAGAGAGGTGGGTGTCATTAGCATCATCAAGTTCCAGGCAGAGGGCATGGCAATAGTGGGGACCCGGGGCTCTGGAGGCAAGGGCCCTGGCCGAGGCAGAAGCCTTTGGGAGAGGAGTGGAAATGGGGTGAACATAGCCACAGTGGAGGCCAGGTAGCCACACATGGGCTGGGAACCAACGGCCAAATCAAGATGGGCAGAGCCTAACGCAAGAGCTAGGGAGACAGAATGAGGGTTCAGGGCTGGCCAGGAGACTCAGAGGTGAAGCCAGAGGCCAGGTGAGCCCGCCAGTGCCAGGAAACTCAGCCGGCCGCAGTGTCTTCTGCTTCTCGTGTCCTCCTGCTTCTCGTGGGTGTTGTGCACCAGTCCTGATGACACGCTTAGGAAAGAGGAAGAAGGGGCACCAAAGCCAGGTTGCAGGGCCTAAGGAGTGAAAAAGGAGAGCCAATGTGTAGACCCTCCGGTCCAGACAACCCTTTCCTAAGGAGGCAGAACATTTGGGAAAGGACAAAGGGCAGTGGCTTAAAGGGTGTCAGGGCTGAGAGAGAAAGGTGTTCATTTTCACTATGAAGTACACAGCAGTGAGGAGGTCACCTGGATGGAAGTGGAGCACTTAGCTCAGGATACTCAGCTGGTTTGCTCGTCAGAAACCACACAACGTGCATTATATCCACATTAGGCTCGGGTGTTTTGACGGAACCGTCTCCCTGATGCGGGGTCCCCTTGAGTTCCGGTTAATCTGTGCAGCTGGGCGGTGGGTGAGTGACATGGTTGTCCAGCATCTCCACACTGACTCACCCCAAGGGCTGTTTTTATCCTGGTCCTTCTCCGATCACCCTCCATGACGTCACTCCCCTTGTTAGGCAGCTCAGAGGGATTATCCAATTACTCTGCTGTCAGTGCCAAAACAGAGCTGCAATGTTGTGCTAAATTTCTGGGTTGATCTCTTGAAACTATTCCTCTTTATTTGTATTGGCGTGACTAATTATTAGTATCTGTTCATGATACCATATGCTTCCGCTGTCCGGAAAGGAGAGGGGTGCTGCGAGGCGACACCAGTGTTCACTGGCTAACCTTGGACACGTGTCGCTGTATGTCAGCCGTTTGCAAGGTGGCAGTGGAAGGAGGCATGGAACATTTGTTGACCACCTATGTCCCAGCTGCTGTGGGAGTTGTTTTCCATACCTTGCTGCATTTGTTGACCACAGCAATCCTATGAAGTGAGTTTTATTGATGTCCCCATTTTTCAGAGAGGGCAAGTCGGCACAGTGAGGTTATCCTTGCCCACGGGGTTTGAACCCAGGCAGCTTGGTCCCACTCACAGCATCACCACCCAGCACAACCTGGAAAAAGCCCTCCAGGGTAGGGGAATGGAAACAGAGTGGTGAGAGGGGGTGCATGGCAGAGTCTCACAGAGTCGGCCTGGGGAGGATGGGGCCGAATTAGCAAAGTCTCCGGATGTCGTGCAAAAGCATTGACACCCGTGCCTGGGGGAGTGTTGGAAGAGGCCGGATGAAAGCAGGGGCTTGGGCAGAGAGGCGGTGGTGTTCGTAGGACGAGGGGATGTAGGAGGCAGGCCCCAGGTAAGGCCAAGGGCTGAGGTGGACTGCGTCTGGAACGTGGCTCCGAGAGACCAGCTGTTCCTAGAGTTGGGTCAGAGGCCAAGAGGCTGAGATGACAAGACGACGGCAGGCTTTCTGGCCTGAGGCATCAGAAAACAGAGCTGGGTGCCTGCAAGGATGCAAGGAATCAGTCAGTTTGAGAGACGGAGGCGCTGGAGGCAGGACATCTTGTCGGAGTGCTGGGTGTGTTGGGGGGAGTAGCTGGAGCCCCGAGTGGATGACTCATTAGGGAAAGAAGAGGAGGATGCGCTGGGCACAGGGTCTTCAGGTCATCTCTGCTCCCCACAACTCAACTCCCAGGCAGAGCATTTCCATTAACTAAGCCTCCGATTGCTCTGGACCAATCGTAAGAAAGCGGCCCGGTTCCTGCCCTCGAGGAGCTGAGGTTAAACAAACACTGAGGCCAGCGTGGAAGGACAAGTGGGAGTAAGTGTCGGAGGGAGAAAGGGCCGAGTGAGGTGGTGGGGCTGCAAGATGAGAGTGGGGACTGAAGCTGAGACGAAAGGAGGAAGAGTAGAGGTGAACTAGGCGGGGAGACGCATCCCAGTGGAAGAGGGTTCAAGCCCTGGTCCGGGAAGATCCCACGTGCCGCGGAGCAACTAAGCCCGTGCACCACAACTACTGAGCCCATGTGCCACAACTACTGAATCCCGCGTGCCTAGAGCCCGTGCTCCACAAGAGAAGCCACTGCAATGAGAAACCCACGCACCACAACGAAGAGTAGCCCCCGCTCGCCACAACTAGAGAAAGCCCACACACAGCAACGAAGACCAAATGCAGCCAAAAATAAATAAATAAATTTATTTTTTAAAAAAAGAATGAAGCAGCAAGCAATGTTGATGTGCTCTTTTTCTCTATCACTCACTCCTGGTGACATGGAATGTGCAAAACCAAGCAAGGATAAAGTCATGATTTGGTGCTTAGGGCGGGAGAGGAAATACTGGCTTCAGAGCCACCAAGCATTCTGCCCAGCAGTGGAGATTTAGCTTGGCCTCTCCCCTTCCTCCTTCCCTCCCTTTTTCCCTCCCTCCTTCCCTCCTTCCTTCTTAGAACTCTAATCTCCTCTGAACTGCAAAGTCGTTTTATTTCTTCTTAGGGCTCCTATTGATATACATTACCTTCTAGAATATACTGTTATCTGTCCTTAGAATTCTGAAGTTGGGGACAAGTTTTAGAACTTTAGACCTGTTGGTGACCTAGTGTGTAGAGGTGTGGGTGGGGACACTAACTTAGAAGCCAGGAGGGTCCTCACCGAACGGTCTTTGACCAACCATTTCCCTCCTGAGCCTGCTGGAAAAGTGGGGACCGACAGTAACTACCCTGGATGCTTGCTGTAAAAATCAAACAGCGTAAGAAGATGAGAAATTGCCATGTGGCTATTAAGTCCCATGTGAAGGTAAGAGATCATCCTTCAAATATAGTCCATTTTACAGGTGAGAACACCGAGGACCCAAAGTAGAAGTGACCTGGACAGGGTTACCCAGCAAATTAGTACCAAGGCCCAGACTGGAGCCCAGGTCTCCTTCCTCTGTCCCCCAGCACTTCCTTGTAACCTTCCTGCCTCTGCCCTCTCTTTCTGGACCATGACAAGAAGCTATTGTCCAAGCACAAAATGCATTTTCCATTTTCCACCTCTCTATACACTCTAAGCAAGACCAGCCAGCCATATGAGGTTACATCTTTCCTACAATTCCAGCAACCTTTCCAAACTGTTTTTCCAAACCTAGAATCCCAGCAGCATCCCAGAACCACCACCAAAGCCGCTCTCTGTTTGGGAGCTGGAAGAGAAGGTGACTCCAGGTGATCTGATTCACCTGCTGCTGACGCAGGCTTCAGCTCCCTCCGCCCACAGAAACGCAGCCTAAATTAAAGCCCAGAGAGCTCAAAACAGTGCAGATGCCTCTCTCCTTACCAGTTCTCCTTAGCGATGAGCAGGCAAGTCTAATTTTAGCAGAGAAGACTCTTAGAATGTGAGAAACAGAAGGTACTTTGAGATCATCTTGTCTTGTGGTTTGTAGCTCCCACTAAGCATCAAAAATCATCCAAGGAGATTAAAAATACATCTCCAGAGATTCGAATCAGTTTGTTCAGGAGGAGCACTGGTATTGTCGTAAAGCTCGCGGGTAATTTGTATATGCAGCCATGATTGAGAACCAATGGTCTGGTCTCACCCCTCATTGTACAGAGGAGGCTGAAGCCCAGAGAAGGGAGGGGACTTACCCAAGGTCACACAGCATCAGGGGCAGAGTCAGGGCTGGAACTTGGTTCTCTTGAGTCTTCACTAAAGGCTCGCTGTTGTCTCTCTAACTAGAAATCGTGTCTAATGAAATGGCCAGGGGAATTTTTTTTAATGAGCAAATGTTTACCAAATACCATCTTCTGGAAGAGGTAGAAGAGAGATAATATTCTTCCCTGACCTCCGGAAGCCCACAGTCCAGTAGGGGAAGCATGCATGTACCCAGAGAGCTCTAACACTGTGTTGACTAAGTACTGTGATAAGGACACCAGGTGCTGTGAGAGAGCTACAGAGAGAGAAGGTGGAACCCAGGAGGTCTCCCTGGGGGAGGAAGCATTATTCCAAACTTAAAGGATGGGGAGGTAGAGTTGTTAGATCAAATATAGTATGCTCAGTTGGATCTGAATTTCAGATAAATGATGAATAAGTTTCTAATATAAGAAGGTCTCAAATACTGAATGGGATGTACTTACACTAGAACATTTTTCATTGTTTATCTGAAATTACAGTTTAACTGGGTATCCTGTATTTTTATTTGCTAAATCTCAAAACTCTCCCGGGGGGCATTTCAGCAGTGGGCAGTGCAGATGGAGAGAGGATTGCCAGCAGACAGGCAGCATTGGCAGAAGCAGGAGCATCTACTGAGCAGTGACCATTTGTGTCGCCGGAGCAGAAAGGGCGTGGGCAAAGGCCAAGGCTATTGAAGCAGGGCCAGCCCCGGGGAGGGCCAGTGAAGCCAGACTCTGGAGTCACAAGGCACCGTCCTCATGGTCCTGCACGCCCATCCTTCCCCTCTAGTCAGTGCTCCACATTCAGCCTGTTAACAGTCACAGAACTTGAGTCAGACCATCTCACTCCCTGCTCAGGCCACGCCTAGAAAAAGACATCTGAGCTCCTTACCTGGACCTAGAAGACCCTGTAGGGTGTGGCCTTGCCTATTTGAATAAAATCTACTCCAAAGGGTTGTTGTGAAGATTAAGGGGGATGGCATTAGGCAGTGTTCCCAACCTCGGCTGCCCGGTGGAACCACCTGGGGAGCTTTAAAAAAGGCAGATGCCTGGCCCCAGCCCAGGGATTGTGGTTTAATTGGTCTGGGGGAGTCCTGGGCATCAGGAGTTTCAGAAGAGTCCCAGTGATTCCGATGCACAACCAGACTGAGTGTCACTGAGGTACAGTGTACTCTCTAGCCCGACATAAGCATTTGGTGAGGACCTGTTGCCCTCTGCCACATGTCCAACTTCATCTCTATCCACCTTCAGCTTCCCCCTCCCTCCCTGGCCTTCCACTCCCCAAGCCTAGGGCTTCCCACCCACCATCCCTCTGCCCAGAATGTTCTACCTCCTTTCTCTTAACGTGGCCAACATCTATATTCATCTCTGTCATCCCAAGCTTCTCTGTTCTCTTCTCCCAGAACACACTGAACTTTCTCTTTGCAACACTTAGCATACCCTGCACTTACGTTTTTAATGGTGTGGGCACCTGCTTAGCTTCTCATTCCCAGCAGACTGTAACCTACATGGCAGAGCCCCTGTCTTTCTTGTTCCTCACCGTCCCCACCCCCCTGGAGCTGGACACATGATGCTGGTACTCGGTAAATGTCGAACAAATGAATGGGTCAAAGAGTGACTGATCACGGGGGGATGTGGTTAGGTTTGCCTTTCCAGAGAGATCTTTCTGGCTGCCCTGTGCTGAATGCTGGTGGGGGAAGATGGGAAGAGGCCAGAGTACCAGTGATTCCACAGTTGTGATAATACAGGCGAGAACTGATAGGGCCTTAACCAGGACAGAGGTGATGGAGTGCGAGGTGGGACAGATGAGAGGCTCTGTATAGGAGGGTGAGGATTTAGGGGAAGGGGTGCCATGTAACTGAGGGTCTACCCCGAGGGACAGGCAGGATGACCAGATGGAACGTGAGCCAAAGGAAGAGGCTGTTGTCGGGAAAGAGGAGTTCCGTTTGGGCCAAGTTGGGTTGGACGTGCCAGTGGGACATCAGAGGGACATCTAGGAATCTGAGGCCAGGGACAGAGAAACCTAGGCTGGGGATGGAGATTCGAGAGTCATGTCAATAGAGGCAAGAGTAAAAACCAAATAAAATTTAAAAGTTTACATGCAAGTGTTTCTTGCCATTTCTGTGAGCAAAACTTCCTGGGGCATGGAATGTCCGTGCCCAGAAGCCTCTCTGTCTGAGAGGCGCGTCATGGGCCCTTCGTGTCCCCGCAGCTATCCTGGGCATGCACACGCTCATGAGCAACCAGCAGTACTACCAGGCCTTGGGCAGCAGCTCCATCGTGAACAAGGAGGGACTCAACAGTGAGTACGGGCACCCCTCCCTGCCCCCAGCGAGGGCACCTTGGAAGTGAGGGGTCCTCCCACGTCTTGCTGCCTCTGCCCGCTCTCTGGCTCACTGCAGAAGATTTCGAATTCTATAAAGCCAAATCTATCCACTTTTTCCTTTTACTCTCCTGGGATTTTGTGACGTATTTACGAAGACCCTCCCCATCCCAGTATTAACAAAACGTCCTCCTGTATTTTCTTCTGCAAGTCTTAGAGGTTTACTTCTTATATTCAACTTCTTAATCCTCCTAGAGTTCATGTTTGTGTGTGGTGTGAGATGAGATTGAACTCTCATTTTTTTAAATCAATATCCTGTTGTCCCAACACCACTCTGTGTAAAGTTCATCCTTTCACCTCTGGTTTGGAACTCCACCTTGATCATAAATGTCCATGTGTCCACTTGGGTCTGTCTCCGGATGCCTCTCCTGCTCCACGAGTCTCCTTGTCCTTTCCTGTGCCAATATTGCATTGTCTGAATTGCTCCGCTGCATTGTTCCAAGCTGGCATTTTGGCCCCAAAGAGAAACGAGGGCACCCAACGCACAATTATCCCTCCCTCTGGAAGGCCTACACATTTCCTTCCCATCCAGGCTTCATTTTACCCTCACAAGAGCCCACTGGGTAGAACGACTCGTTCACATTCTACAGATGAGGACACCGAGGTTCAGACAGTTTAGCGAATTCACCCAGTTGTTGCAGGACGGCAGAGGCAGAGTCCAAGTAGGGCCCAGACTCCTGGCCCCGCCCATTGCCCGCCCCCATCCCCCATAGCCCCTGAGATGCCCAGCCTTCCGTGTCCCTGAGCTCTGCTGCCGCTTCCTTCCGGTGTCCTTATGGCGAGGGAGAGTGACGCCCCGTCTCTGTGAGCCACCCGCCTGTTGTCGGTCACTCTAGGTGTGATCAAACCTACACAATACAAGCCTGTGCCTGATGAAGAACCAAATGCAACAGACTTGGATGAAACGCTGGAGCGGATAAAGAGCAACGACCCCAAACTTGAAGAGGTCAACCTCAACAACATCCGGGTGAGGTTAACCCCTTTCACTCCACTTGCCCTGCTGGGGGGAGGCGGGGAAGCCATGTCTAGTGCCACCCAGACCCAGATGGCCCGGGCCTGGCTGTGCGGAGACAGCAGGGTCCTGCTTGGACTCTGGGTGCTTCTGGATCAGGAATAGAGACAGAAGCTTTCGAAGGGAGGATAGTGTAAACTAGCACAGCCCGTGGTCCTGGTTTCTTCTGGGGACTGACATCAGACCCAGATGTTCACCACAGGCCAACCCAGCTTCGGCTCTGGAAACCCGCCACCCTATTCAAAACACTGAGAGCTTCTCTGAGATAAAATCGTGAGTCAGACACATACGGCTGCACGGGATCCCGAGGCTGGAAAAGCCCAGGGCCCACCAGGTTCATGGGGTAACCCAAGCCCGGGGAGGGACCTAGCCCTGAACCAGTGTAGCATGCACATATTCAGCCTCATTCTGCAACCTTAGAAGGGAACTGTCAGCCCAAATGTCCAAAGACATATTCCAAGCCGTCGGCCCACATCTCTCCAGACCTTTCCTGTGTGACCACTAAGGGCAGAGCGGGGACGGATGGACAGGCAGTCCTACCCTGGACAGGCTGCAGGAGGAATTCAGAAGCAGGCCCAGCTGCCTGCCCACCTGCTCAGCCCAGGGACCAGAGGGATTAGTTCTCGGGGGGTGTGGATGTAAGATAAGAAGTGGGCCCCTCACTCCCCGGCTCCCCTTTCCTTTCTTCTCCACTTTCTTTTAAGTGGCTGCCAGCCCCACGGCACGATCAGATCGGAAACCTGCGCCCGCAGCGTTCTCCTGCACCTGGCCTTCCCGTGCTCTGCTCCCACGGGGGCTAAAGTGACACTCTGAAATAAGAGATCCGTTCAAACACAGCCAGGCTCTCTCTCTCGGGCGCCTCCGCTGTCTGCCGTGTGCACAGTGGGAGACGCTGGCACAATTCAGAGCCGCGCACCCTGGCAGTGCGTACCAGGAGGCATGGGGGTGTGGAACCTGGCCACGGCCCTGTGTCTTCACCGTGAGGCCTCAGGCAAGGGCTCGGCCCTCTCCAGGCCTGTTTCCCCTCTGCACGTGAGGCAGTTGGACTAGGTCAGTGGTTTTCACTTGAGGAGATTAAAAAATAAATAAATGCCAATGCCCGGTCCCTCTCCCCGCAGAGAGTCTGATCTTATTGGTCCGGGGCAGGCCTGTGCGTCAGCACTTTGTGAAAGTTCCCCAGGCACCTCTGATGTGTGGCAGGGCTGAGATCCCCTGGGACAGATGTCTCTTAAAGATCATCTAGGGCCATGCCACACCTTAGTTTTCCAGAAACAAACCCAGAGAGGAGCAGAGACTTCCCCAGCGTCACACAGTGAGTCAGAAACATTGCCAGTGCTGGGGCGGAGGCCTCTCCCACACCCCCAGACCTGAGCTCTCACCACAGCACTCTTCTGCATCCTTTGCTTGATGTATTCCTCCTCCTGCGGTCTCCACATGTACAAAGAGAAAATTACAGGTCCTATTGGAAATTTTCAGGGAGGATTTTCTCAATCTGTTTACCCAAAAGTTCTCCTCCAATCTCAGCCATTTGGGACAAAGCAGGAACCCTTTGCCCATTCAGCTTTTTGGTCAGAGACTTGCAGGGAATCAGGTTGCACGTGTGAGAGAGCTGCTGCCCCCATCTCTCTGCCCTACCCGCCCCTGACAGGGGCTGCTGGTCACTGCTTGCCTTTCTCTCTGCAGAATATCCCCATACCCACTCTCAAGGCGTATGCAGAAGCCCTGAAAGAGAACTCGTATGTGAAGAAGTTCAGCATCGTGGGGACACGGAGCAATGACCCCGTGGCATTTGTATGTACCTTTCTGATCTGCTGCATTGAGAGTGGGAGGCATAGAAACAGGAAGGTTGACGTTTGTAGCCTCAGGACTGGCCATGTGCCACTGATGAAGAACCCTGTGTGGTGTGGTGTGGTGTGATGTGGTGAAAGGCTCTGGGCTAGGAGCCAGGAGAGGACATGGACAGAACAGCCATTACCCAGGCACCATCTGTACATTATCCTCCATGGTGCTTAATCTCCATAACCACCCCTGATCCCAGAGGTGCAGGGCTCCCCACTTTACAGATGAAGAACCTGAGGTAAAGGGATCTCAGGCAACTTGCTTTGTCCAAAGTTGCACAGCAAGGGAGAGGTGGAGCTGAGATTTAAAAACGAGTCAAATGTTCCCTAAAGCCAACTCTCTCACCACTCAGCATGTCATGAGTAGACAAGGGTCCACCCCTCCCTGGTCCTCAGTTTCTCCATATCTAAAAATTATTGTCTTCATCAATGGTTCCCAACGACCAATTTTATTTGTTTTTTACCTATGTCTTAAAGATATTGCTGATTAGATTAAATTGTACTTATTATAAAGTAGCCATCAATTCGTTTTTAGAAAAAAGAAAAACATTCAACACATATGTATGGAGCCTGTCTGTGCCCAGCAGTGAATTAGGCTCTGAGAATACAACTGTGACCAAGACAGTCATAGCTCCCACTTTCATGAATATAATGGCCCATCCAGCCATGCAGACAGCTAAAGGATAACAGTACAGCGTGACTACTGCAATACTAATAGCAGGTAAAAAGGTACAGGGATTAGCTTACCAGGCATGGTAATTAACCATTTAGTAGCAATCACTTTGTTGATATCCACGAAATAACTTGCTGGGATTTCGATTGAGATTGCATTGAATCTATATCAAAATGGGAAGAACTGATATCTTGACAATACTGAGTTTTCTTGTACATGAACATGGAATATACCTCCATTTATTTAGTTCTTTTTTAATTTCATACATCAGGGTTTTTTAGTTGTGCTCATATAGATCTTGTACATATTTTGTTAGCTTTATACCTAAGTATTTCATTGTTTGGGGTGCTAATATAAATGGTATTATGTTTTTTTTTTTTATTATTATTTATGGTCGGCTGCATTGGGTCTTCGTTGCTGCGTGAGGGCTTTCTCTAGTTGCAGTGAGCGGGGGCTGCTCTTCGTTATGGTGCATGGGCTTCTCATTGCGGTGGCTTCTCTTGTTGCCGAGCACGGGCTCTAGGCGCACGGGCTTCAGTAGCTGTGGCACGTGGGCTCAGTAGCTGTGGCTCACGGGCTCTAGAGCGCAGGCTAGGTAGTTGTGGTGCATGGGCTTAGTTGCTCCATGGCATGTGGGATCTTCCAAGACCAGGGCTCGAACCCGTGTCCCCTGCAGTGGCAGGTGGATTCTTAACCACGGTGCCACCAGGGAAGTCCCTAACTGTAGATTTTTTTGTAGATATTCTTTATCAACTTACGGAAATTGCCCTCTATTCCTAGTTTACTGAGAGTTTTTATCATGCATGGATGTTGGATGTTGTCAAATGCTTTTTTTATCATCTATCGAAATGACTATTTTACTTTTTTAGCTTGTTGATGTGATGAATTATATGAATTGATTTTCCAGTGTTGAACCAGCCTTGCATACCTGGGATAAATCCCACTTGGTCATAGTTCAACATACTTTTGAATTTATCTTGAGATTTCTTCTTTGACCCATGTGTTGTTTAGAAGTGTGTTGTTTCATCTCCATGTATTTGGGAATTTTCTAGTTACCTTTCTGTTATTCACTTCTAGTTTGATTCCATTGTGGTCTGAGAGCAGACATTGTATGATTTCTATTCTTTTAAATTTGTTAGGATGTGTTTTACGGCCCAGAATGTGGTCTGCCTTGGTGAATGTTCCATGTGCACACAAGAAGAATGTGTTTTCTGCTACTGTTGGATGGTAGTCTATAGATATCAATTATATCTAGTCGATTGACAGTGTCGTTGAGTTCAGTTATGTCTTTCCTGATCTTTGGCCTGCTGGATCTGTCCATATCCATAGAGGGGTATTGAAGTCTCCTACTATGATAGTGGATTCATCTATCTCTCTTTGCAATTCTATTAGTTTTTGCCTCATATAGTTTGATGCTCTGTCATAAGGCAGGCACTCAATAAGGTTGTTATGTCTTCTTGGATAATTGACCCCTTTATCGTTATATACTACCCTGCTTTTTTTTTTTTTTTTACATCTTTATTGGAGTATAATTGCTTTACAATGGTGTGTTAGTTTCTGCTTTATAACAAACTGAATCAGTTATACATATACATATGTTCCCATATCTCTTCCCTCTTGCGTCTCCCTCCCTCCCACCCTCCCTATCCCACCCCTCCAGGCGGTCACAAAGCACCGAGCTGATCTCCCTGTGCTATGCGGCTGCTTCCCACTAGCTATCTACCTTACGTTTGGTAGTATATATATGTCCATGCCTCTTTCTCGCTTTGTCACAGCTTACCCTTCCCCCTCCCCATATCCTCAAGTCCATTCTCTAGTAGGTCTGTGTCTTTATTCCTGTCTTACCCCTAGGTTCTTCATGACATTTTTTTTCCTTAAATTCCATATATATGTGTTAGCATACGGTATTTGTCTTTCTCTTTCTGACTTACTTCACCCTGTATGACAGACTCTAGGTCTATCCACCTCATTACAAATAGCTCAATTTCGTTTCTTTTTATGGCTGAGTAATATTCCATTGTATATATGTGCCACATCTTCTTTATCCATTCATCCGATGATGGACACTTAGGTTGTTTCCATCTCCAGGCTATTGTAAATAGAGCTGCAGTGAACATTTTGGTACATGACTCTTTCTGAATTATGGTTTTCTCAGGGTACTACCCTTCTTTATCCCTAATAACTTTCCTTGCTTTGAAGTCCATTCATAGCCATCAATTATTTTCTGATCTTTAAAATACATAGGACATTTCCTTTGATGTCTTTGAAGTGATGGAAGTGGCTCATAGTCTCTCACTGCTGCCAGTGGAGAACCTCTAGATAGATGTCCTCTGACCTCAGGACGTCTTGGTAGATCCTGAGTTTGCCCACACAGAAACAGCTGGCAAAGCCACATGCCCTGTCCACTGCCATGTCATGGATCAGAAACTACACCTGTGCATGCTGGCACTCAGCTCAGCTCCACGGATGTTTGTGGGGAATTGACCCTGTGCCAGGCGAACAGCTGATGTCAGCCCCTTCACACCAGGATACCCATTGCTGAATATGAAAATACTTCCGGAACAATTGGTAAATAGGCTTCCAGAGCTCTGCTAGTGCCCCCGCTGCGTGCCCCAGCTCTTCTCCTGCCCGTTCCTCCACTCTGCTCCAGCAAACGAAGAGTTGACACCGGGCATGACAGTGCCTCCAGGACCAGCTCAGCCACTAGTCTGTCTACTTGGATTGGCCTGGTGCACTGACATACTGGTTGTTAAATTTTTTGATTATCAGGCCAGGCCTTTCCTGGGGAGTAAGAAGGGTGCTGTGGAGCGGGCACAGACTCAGTCCCTCCCCTCAGGAGGGTCCAACCTACTCAGGGTCACAGAGCAAGCTGACATGTCATCCTGGGGTACACGGAAGCAGGGGGAGCTGAGGATTTTGTCTCAGAAGGCATCCTGGGAGCTGAGCCTCGCAAAGGTTTCAGCAAGCAGGGCCAGTGGGAAGGGCATTCCTGGATCAGATCATCATTTCAGACAACCAGGGCCCACTGATCATACATCCTGGCCATCAGCTGCTGGTGTCTCCTTTCCTCCATGACACATCGTTTCTCCCGCCTGCTAATTACCTCATTTCCTTTAGAGGCTCTGATTGTCATCTGCACCCCGGGCTGAAGTCCTCCAAAACGCGCTGGGGCCACCCGAGCCCCTCTCTTCCGGCTTGCCCTGGTCACTTGCCCAGCGGGATGGCTTCCCGGGCTCCCCTCTCTGCTGCTCAAAGAGAATGACGACTCCATGGAATTACAACAGGGACATAGAAGAGACAAGTGGAGAGCATATAGGGAGGTTGGGACTCCACTAGTCACTCAGTGAACAGTGACCGAGGACCTACTATGTGCTGGGCACCGTGTGGGTTGGAGGGCACCATGGGATGAATAAGGTGACCATCAGCCCACCAAGAGTACATAGGCTAATGGCGGAGCCAACGCCAGAATAAAAACAACTCTAAACGCAGGAATACAAGTTCCTTGAGGGAGGTTATGGATAAAGTCTGTGAGGTTCAAGAGCTAGCTGGGGGGCATCAGCAAAGGCTCTTGGAGAAACGGGCACTGAGAATGGCCTTAAAGGAGGGACAGGGTTTGAACGAGTGAAGCAGAAAGGAAAGAGCATTCCAGGTGGCAGGGACAGGATGAGCAAAGGCAGAGCAGAGGGAAAACACTGTGTGCCCGGGGAACTGAGAGTAGCCCCACCAAGACTGGCAGCCAGAGTTGAGGCTGATCAGAGTGGGGGAACCAGGTAATAGAGGCTTTGGATGCAGGCTAAGGGGCTGTAAATCTCCAGCTAGGGGCTCGGGGCCATGGCAAGTTGGAGGGGAGGAGAGACAGAGTAGTGCTTGGTGAGGGAAGTTGTGGAGATCGTCTTGCCTGGCCCCTGACGGTGTGCAAGGGACTCTCACTCCCAGCAAGGCTCCCTCAGTATTTTAGGTTCTACCCACAGGGGCTCCAGCCTTGATCAGGCTAACTCATGGGTACCCTGCGTTTTCTCCTTTGGCTCAAGGCCCTTGCTGAGATGCTCAAGGTGAACAAGGTGTTGAAGACACTGAACGTGGAGTCCAACTTCATTTCCGGAGCCGGGATCCTGCGCCTGGTGGAAGCTCTTCCATACAACACTTCTCTGGTGGAACTGAAGATCGATAACCAGGTAAGATGGGCGAAGGTCTCCCTGTGTCCTTCACCTGATGCCCGCCATTCTGTACTTTCCCGCTTGCTGCCATAGGGAGTAGACGCTGCTGGACAGAGCAGATGCTGCTGCTTATAAAAGCACCAGAGCCCAGCTTTAAGGGACCTCCGAGGCTGTCCAGTCCACACCCTCCACCATGCTCACCTCCCTTCTTCATCATTCCCGCCAAGTGCTCCTCCACCTTCTGCTTGGAAACCCCTAGCGATGGGGAGCTCACTCCTTACCGAGATCACGCCTTTCATTCTCAGTGAGAATATCCTTCCTTATATCCAATAGAAATCAGCTCCCTATAAGTGCTGTTTGTTGAGTTTAACTCTGTTCTCTGTTGCACACAGGACACATCTGGCGCACAGGTTTTATAAACCATTGGAATCTTCCTCACTAGGCTAAACGTCCCCATTTTCATGAGTCACCCCCCCCCCCACCGCAACACACACACACTCAATGGGCTTTTGGGTCTTCTTACCATGAAGGTTACTCACTGGGCAAATTCTAGTTTGCCTTTATCCTTACAGGGTTATCATTCCTCTATACCTTCTGTGGTTCAGTCATTTATTTTCAGGGCGACTCTTTCAGTTCCAACTTTCTAAGACAACGCTAATAAGAGTATCTTGTATGTTGCATGTGTTGAGGGTGTCCTGGGGGGCAGGCTCTGTGCTGTGCACCTTATATACATCATCTCTGATCTTCCCAGCAACTCTGCAGGATATGGATGTTATCAGTCTCAGTTTTTGCAGAAGAGAAAACAGCTCAGAGAAGCTGAAGGCAAGCAGCTTTCTCAGGGCCGCCAAGTGAGCACTTTCGGAAGCAGGATTTGAATGCAGGTCTCTGACTTTAAAGCCCACAGTCCCTCCAGTACACCGTGTTGCTTCCAGTGCTAAAATGCTTTCTTCTTTATGGTTTATGGATAGGGAACTTGGGCGTTTTTTCCCCTACATGAAAACGTTTGCTGAATGGTCATATACATATGTATATAGGAAAAAGATTGGGTGGAAGTATAACAAAATTGTAAACACTGGTTGTCCCTGAAAGAGATTATCTCTACTTTCTTATCCTTGTTGAAAAATACTACAAACAGAGAGAAAAGTGCATAGAAGTTAAATGCACAGCTTAATGAGTCATAATAGGCAGGTAACCTCAGCCAAGAACTAAAGCATCACCAGCCTCCAGAAGACTTTGATGGTCCGCTCCCAATCATAAACCTTCAAAACTCTTCACAGTTTGCTCCCTACTTACTTTCACGCCTCCATGTCTTAGCTCTTGCTTTTCTCTCCCCCTGGAATGTCATCCCCTGCCCCTACCCCTTCTCTGCCTAGAGAAATCCTCCTCTTCCTTCTGGATTCAGTTGAAGCCTCTCTTTCTCCTAGTGGTTCTAGAGCCAGCTTGAACCAGCACGCTGGAGCTGACTGTACACATCCCTTCTCAATTCCACTTGAGTGATGGCACGCTGGTACCTTGAAGTCACTCCTAGTGAGAGTATTTACACTATGGAAATTGGCAAACACTACAAATCCAACCTTTTTGTTTGTTTGTCTGTCTGTTTGTTTTTTCCAAGAGCCAGCATATCACCGCCTTCTCCCTTCAGCCTGCCACAGGGCCTCTAAGCCTCCCCCCAAGAGAGTTAGGTGCTCCTTCCCTGTGTTCTCCTAGCACCTCAGCTTCCCTGTGAGGTTCTCAGAAGACACTGTAGTGTCCGAGTCATGTCCATATCCTATTACCCGGCTCAGAGCTTGGCCCTGCAGTGGCACTTTATAAGCAGGGCTGCCCTGGATATTTGTATATGTTGTTCACTGCCCAATGAGGAGGCAGGGGGCAAAATCCAACCCATACTCTGCTCTCCAAAACCTGGTATGGGCCTTTATTCACCCAGAGAAGGCACTTTTCTCTAATTCATATGAAGAGGCCACACCAGGCCTGCAGCAGCCCTGTCATGAGAGTTTGCTGCATCCAACACCCTCCATTTCGCATATGCCAGTGGCCTGCGGTTGCATCACCCATTCCCAGCCCCCATCACTTCCACCCTTTCTTCCATTGCTGACCCTGCTTTATCGCAGGCAGATCAGATGGAACAAAGGCATGTAGCAGCAGGCCCTGGGATTGGCCACTCATGTGACTCCAGGCCTACCCAGGCAGGGAGTCACTATCTACCCAGTGTCAGCTGAAACCTGAGCCCTGGGGCAGAACGTTGGCGAAAGGCGACCCAGCGCACTGGCCTCAGGTCATTGCAGCGGCAGCTTCCAGGGAGTGAGCTGCCCACTACTCCTCTCAGTGCTGTCTCCCCAGAGCCAGTGCTGACCATCACCCTCACCCTGGCTAAACACCCTGTGCGAGGACATTCACTTCCCTGAGCCTGTTTCCTCGTTTGTAAAATGGGGATAGTAAGAATCTCTACTTCTAAGGAGATAAGAGATGCAAACTATGAAGTTGTTCACTTTTATAATTACTCGGAAGGTGACTTAGGGAGTTTACACGTTATTCTAAGAGTTAAGGTACTGAGCAGGTACCATATATCCATTATCTCATGTAATGCTTGCAAAGACTCTTTGTGAGTAGGTGTCACAACCCATCCCAGTATTGTAGATGAGGAAACTGAGGCCCAGGCAGGCTCTGTACCCTGCCCCAGGTCACACAGTAAGTAACAGAGGCAAGATTCGAACCCACGTCTTTGTGACTCTAAAGTCCATGAACTGTGCCTGTGTGGGCTCTTGAATCCTACTGTAGTTGTGTGTGGGTCTTGGATTTTCTCAGCTATCCCTTTCCCTTGGTGCCAGGCCAGAGCACTGGTCACCACCTGCCCCCACCCCATCCCAGGAGCATCTTTCTTCAGTTCATCTCAGTGTTTGATAAGTGCCTGCTGTACCCCAGGGCTATGCTGGGCTCTGTGTGTGAATGAGGCTCTGGCTCTGCCCTCTAGGGATTCCACACTGGATAAGAAGACGGACAAGTGTATAGCTGACCATCCAACCGGGTGCCCCAGTAAGCCACAGACAGTGGGCCACTGGGGGGAGAAATCTCAGTCAGGAGCAGGTATCAGGGAGGGCTTCTTGGAAGAGGTGGAATTTGAGATAAACCCATAGGGTGGACAGTATCTCAGAGGATGGCCACGGCCTCAGGTGCAGGGAACCACACAAACAAAGAGAAGGAGAGGGGGAAGCCGTGGAGCCCATCCAAACTAAACTAGATTAATGGGACCGCCAGAGGAAAGCGAAAAAAGGACTTAGGAGCCCAAAGGGCTCTGAATGGGTGGTTCGAGGGGAAGTGGTCTGTGGGCTGTTATCAGCACCAGTCAGAGTCATGCTCTGCGAAGATGGTTCTTGGCTGGATAGGAGAGGATTGGGGGCGGGGCGAGGCCATCCGGGCCCAGGAGACCAGAGGGGGCTCTGACCACCCAGATGCAGGGGGCCTGTGGGGAGGTGCTCCTGGGAGCCTGGAGTCTAGAGACTGGACTGGGGCCTGGTGGGGGAGGGGTGGGCTGAGGGAAGTCTGGGGAGGGGGCTCTGCTGGCCCGGGCTAGGGGACGCCACCTGCATCTCTCACAGTGTGCCGGGAGGCCTGGGCTCTGGGCGGCGTGGCAAAGAGGAGGCGGTGAGTAGCGTTGGATTTATTCCTCGTTCTTGGTTAGTCACCAGGGTCTCCGGAGGCCGCAGCTTTCTCCTCAGCCCCTGCACCTGCAACCTGTGTCAGAGTCTCTGTCTTCCTTTCTCCTTATACGGCCAAAGAAAGGGACTTGGGGCTTTCTGCCCGGCGTGACATGGAGCCTCGTAGGCTGGCTAGAGACACAAATGCAGGAATAGGATTCTGGGGCAGTTTATTTACTCAGCCAGGCTCTCTTTACCTCCAGGCCATGTTCTCTTGCCGCCTGGAGTTGCCCTGGGATGGCAGTGAGGCTGGGGAGGGAGGTGGCGGCTGACCACAGCCCGGGCTGCTGAGACACACCTAGTCCAGCCCTCCTTTTACCCCTGGGTGGGGGGGGGGGGAAACTGAGGGTCAGAGAAGGGACAGGCTGGGCCAAGGTCATGGATCAAGTTAGTGTCAGAGCTGGGCTGGAACTGAGGAGTCCAGCTTCCAGACAGGCTGCATTTATGGATGGACAGGAGAGGCCCTCCCGGCGCCCAGGAAGCAGGCAGCACACATGGGATGCCTGCAGGCCCCGTACATCCCTGGCCGGCCCTATGCCAACGGTGGGGCGGCTCTCCGCCCGTCTTGATTCACCCTCCTCCCCCCTACCCCCCAGCTCCCTCCAGCAGGCCCTTCCCAGGACCCGCAGGGCGTGGGGCACTCTCCCTGCCCCTCAGCACAGATGAGGCCTGAAAACAGGACCCCAGCCCCAGTGAAGACACGGGCAACGTGTGGGGGCCGTTCGCCGGATTCCTCACTTTACATTGCAATATTTGACAGTGAGAATGTGCTTCATATTTTGAAAAGGCGCTAAAGGAAGTGGATTGGGGTCTCAGACAGTCTCTATATCATCTGCCAGGCCAAGCTGGCCGGAGCCCAGGGCTGTGCTGGCTCCTTCAAGGACAGGCCCGAGCTCTTCCCAGCCCTTTCAGGAGCCTTGCTGGATAGGCTGGTGGAATCTTGCCATCCTCCCTCTGCCTGCCCTAGTCAGCGGTCCAAGCCCCATCTGAACCCATACAAGCTCCAGTGAACTCGTAATACCTGGGAGTTGTTCTCTGTCAAGAGTCTCAGCTGCGGTTCCATGCTTGTCCATTTGGGTGTTGGGCTGATGTGTCTTCTCAACCTTCCCAGGTTGCTGTGCATTGATCCTGTTCCTATTTTTTCCAATCAGTTCAATTCCTTGCCCTTGCCCTTGCCCTAGAGATACAGGGTACCATGTGCTCTCCAAGAGCTCACAGTCTAGGGTAGCATCATCCAACAGAACTTCCTGTGTTGATAGAAATGTTCTGTATCTGCACTGACCAATATGGTAGCCACTAGCCAGTGGCTCTTGCACACTTGAAATGTGCCTAATGCAACTGAGGACCTGAATTTTAAATTTTATTTAATTTTTAAATGAAGTATAGTTGCTTTGCAACATTATATTAGTTTTAGGTGTACAACATAGTGATTCAGTATTTTTTTTCTAGATTGGATTTTATTTCTATATATTCTATAATAATACAGTTGAAAATCTTGCCCACTTTCACACTCAATAACTTTAACAATCAGTTCTTCTTAAAATTTTGGCCTAGGAGAACATCTGTATATCCAAACAGATGGGTTTGTGTGTGTGTGTGTGTGTGTGTGTGTGTGTGTGTTTATAACAAAGATAAATATGTATAACCTATTGTTCCCTGTTTGCCTTGAAAGAGAGTAGCCCAAGGGCAAACTCCGTTTTTGTTTCTTGCAGACATCCTATGGTGTGGTGCCTTAAAGTACACTGCCTGTACACTGCTATATTTAAAATAGATAAGGAACAAGGACCTACTGTATAGCACAGGGAACTCCACTCAACACTGTAATAACCTAAATGGGAAAAGAATTTGAAAAAGAATAGATACACTCACATGTATAAGTGAACCACCCCGATGCACACCTGAAACCAACACAACATTTTTAATCAACTACACTCCAGTTTAATATGATTCAGCATTTTTATAGATTATACTCCATTATAAGTTATTACAAGATAATGGCTATAATTCCCTGTGCTATACAATATATCCTTGTTGCTTATCTGTTTTATACATAGTAGTTTTTACCTCTTAATCGCCTATTCCTATCTTACCCCTCCCCACTTCCCTCTCCCCTCTGATAACCACTAGTTTGTTTTCTATATCTGTGCGTCTGTTTCTGTTTTGCTATATATATTCATTTGTATTATTTTTTAGATTCCACATAAATTTTATTTAATTTTAATTACTTAAATTTAAAGTTTAAAAAACCCAAACAATCTGATTAAAAAATGGGCAGAGGATCTGAATAAGAAGACATACAGATGACCAACAGGTACATAAAAAGTTGCTCAACATCACTAATCATCAGGGAAATGCAAATCAAACCACAATGAGCTACCACCTCACACAGTTAGAATGGCTATTATCAAAAGGTAAGAATTAACAAGTGTTGGCAAGGATGTGGAGAAAAGGGAACCTTGTGCACCATTGGTGGGAATGTAAATTTGTGCAGTCGCTATGGAAAACAGTATGGCTATTCCTGAAAAAATAAAAAATAGAACTACCATATGATCCAGCAATTTCATTTCTGGGTATTTATTGGAAGGAAATGAAAACACTAATTCAAAAAGATATATGTATCCCCATTTCATTGCAGCATTATTTATAATAGCCAAGACATAGAAACAACCTAAGTGTCCATTGATGGATGAATGGATAAAGCAAATGTGGTATATACAATGGAATATTATTTAGCCATAAAAAATGAAATCTTGCCATTTGTGACAACATGGATGGACCTAGAGGGTATTATGTGATGTAAAATAAGTCAGACAGAGAAAAACAGATACCATATGATCTCAGTTATATGTGGAATCTAAGAAAAAACAAAAGGCAAAACCAACCAAGCTCATAGATACAGAGAACAGATTGGTGGTTGCCAGAGGTGGGGGTAAGGAGTGGGTGAAATGGGTGAGGGAGGTCAAAAGGTACAAACTTCCAGTAATACATAAAGCATGGGGGGGTAATGTACAGCATGCTGACTATAGTTAATAATGCTATATTGCATATTTGAAAGCTACCAAGACAGTAAATCTTAAAAGTCCTCATGGTAAGAAAAAACCCACTTTTTTGTATTGATAACTATGTATGGGGATGGATGTTAACTAGACTTATTGTGGTGATCATTTCATGATGTATACAAATATCGAATCATTATATTGTATACCTGAAACTAATGTTATGTCAGTTAAAAAAGATTTAAAGTTAAAGAGCCACATGCAGCTGGTGGCTGCTGTACTGAACAACACAGGTCTAGTTGGAGAGACAGTGTGGAGGCAGGTGACCCAGTAATGCAGATGGACTGGGCCGGGAGTAGAGAGGGACATACGGTGGGCCACTTGAGTGTCCAGTGGGGAAGGATGGTGTCCAGTGGGGAAGGATGGTTTCCAGGGGTAAGGATCAGGAAAGGTCTCGTGGGGAAGGGGGCATTTGTGATGGGTATTAAAGCACTAAGGATACACCAACAGGTGGGTACGGGAGGGTAGGGGCATTCCACATGGAGGCAGGAGGGCACATGAACATTTAGAAATAGACCTCTGCCTGCACGAGGTACCAGGTACCAGACTCCCCATCCCTGGGGTAACCAGGCTGAGTAAAGACTGAGAGAGGAAATAAAGGCAAGGACTAAACTGTAGCACTTGGAGTGCCAGGCTGAAGAGGAGGCGGGGCTTATCCTGTTGGGTTATTGAATGAATTGAGACCCTGCAAGTTGTGCACAAGGCATTGGGAACACAGTAAGCTCTCAATAAATGACAGCAGTTATTGGCAGTGGGAAGGGATTGGAGGTGGTGTTCTGTTTGCTGCTTCTTTAGATCAATTTGGCAGTCTTGCCATCTTAGCAATGTTAAGTCTTCTGATCCGTGAATATGGGATGTTTTTATGTTTTTATGTTTATTCAGGTCTTCCTTAATGTACAATGCTGTGGTATAGTTTTCAGCGTGCAAGTCTTTACTTTATTAAATTTATTCCTAAATATATTTTATGTTATTGTAAATGGAATTCTTAATTTTATTTTTGGATTGTTTATGGCTAGTGTATAGAAACACAGCTGGGTCTTGTATATTGATCTTACACCCTGCAAGCTTGCTGAACTCGTTTATTAGCGCTAATAGTTTTTTGTGGATTCCTTAGGATTTTCTAGATACAGTATTGTGTCATCTGCAAATAGGAATAGTTTTGCTTCTTCCTTTCCAATATGGTGACTTTTCTTTCTTTTTCTTACATAATTGACATCCAAGACGATTTCCTTGTCTCATTTCTGCTCTGAGGGGGAATATCTTTAATCATTAAATATGATGTTAGCTTGCCTTCTCTGTCTTTTCAAACCTCTTTAAGATTATATTTACTTTTTAATATCTTATTGTACATAAAACTCAAACAATACAGTAAGATACAACAGAACACAAACAAAACAGGAAGACACGAAGAAGAAAATAAAAACTCCCCCAAATTCCACCACCACCAATATGCTCCCAGGCCTTTCAGTGCATATGTTTGTATATGGGAAGTAGAAGTAACTTTACATAAATATGACCCGTTTTGTCACTAGGCTTTGTCTACTCAATATTGTGTCATGGCATATTTTCCAGCCTGGAACTGACAATTCGCACCGTCATTGTACAGCTGCCCCTGTTCTATTATAAAGCTGAACCATCATTTATTTGAGCAACCCCCTCTTGATGAATGTTTGTTTCCCTTTTATCCCCACTTTTATAAATGAGACTGATGAATATCCTCATCATATCCTTCCCAGCACTGTGTATTATCGTGTTTTCCTTTCCTGTCCTTTCCATCTTTGTCAGATGATCACTATAGATTTGGGGGTAGGGAGCTAGCATGATCAGAGTGAGGCTTTAGGAGGCTAACTCTGGCAGTCCCAACTTACTATGGGACCTTAGGCAAATCCTCTTCCCTCTCTGGGACTGTTTCTTTATTTGTAAATTGCTAAAGGACTGGCTAGCAAACCTGGCTGTGTATTGAAATCACCTGGGGAGTTTTAAAAACCACAGACACCTGAGTATCATTGCAGCCAGTGATTCTGATTTAATTAGTATGCGGGATAGCCTGGGCTGTAGGATTTTTAAATCTCCCTGAGACTAGATGATGTGAAGGTCCTTCCTGCTGAAATATTCTAGGAAGGCTGCTGTGAAGCAGTAGAAAGATCTGTTCTTGGTGTCCAGCAGCCCTGGGTTTGAATCTCAGCTCATTCGCTCCTGGCTAGCTCCTGTCTTTTCAAACCTCTTTAAGATTATATTTACTTTTTAATATGGCTGTGTGACCTTTCAACTTCTCCAAACTTCCATTGCCCGCCCCCACCCCCACCCCCACCCCCGCTCTTGGAGTGGGCGGGGACAGGGAGGTATTAAAATCCCCACCCACCACTCAGGGTTTTTGTAGGTAGAGAAGGTTTAGGTCCTGCACAAACGAATGAGAGGTGACTGTGTTCTTTTCTTGATCAAAGAGCCAGCCCCTGGGCAACAAGGTGGAAATGGAGATCGTGAGCATGTTGGAAAAAAATGCAACACTTCTCAAATTCGGCTACCACTTCACTCAGCAGGGGCCCCGGCTGCGGGCGTCCAACGCGATGATGAACAACAACGACCTTGGTGAGTGGACATATGCACCCTACCCGCCGCCTATCATTCTTTCCACCTGTCATGGGGGGTATGGCAGGGAAAACTCCACTGCCGCCTTCCCCAAGGGAGTCCTCTTTTTGGGCCTGACTCCCAGTTTTCATGCTGATCCCGTTCCCTTGTTTTAGGTGTTTGCGCCTTGCCTCCCCCCTAGACCCTTGCCTAGACACGAGCGCCCTGCCTGCAGGCGCTGAGGCCAGGCCCTCCTCCCTGCAGGTAGCTCAGCTGAGCAGAGGGCTGGACCCAGAGTGCACCCTCAGCGTGTTAGCCGGGTGAAATGAAACGTGGGAGGCACAAAGCCAGCACGGAGTCTCCTCCTCTTCTGAATACCCTTTTTGGAGCCCAGAGTCCTCTTCAGATCATACAGTGTGGCCCAAGCCCCAGATCCCAAGGCCACCAAACAGCCCTACTACCCACACTGCAAACCCAGGGGACTTCACGTTGCTTTTAACGTAAAGGTTGAAAATGCTGACTTTATAGTAAAGTAAAACAGGTTACATTTAATCTCAGTTAAAGACATAGTTTGCATTTTTTTCTTTAAAAAAAAAAGAGAAAATGTCACAATCTTTCTTAGGAGCAAACACCAAAAAGAAATACTAGTCAGTTGAACAAAAGGGAGACCAATCACCGACTTACTTCCAGATACTAAGTGTTCTCAAGCTCTATGCCTAGTTATTTCTCATGTGTATTCCTGCTGGCTGCTTAAAGAACTTGATAGAGTGTCCAAAGAGGAGTATGTCTGATAAGGCTGTAGGAAAATAAGAGAAAAGAAACAAGGAGTAGGTCTGTTAACTTAATTGATCATTATATTCAGCTGTGAGTTTCCTAGAATCAAGGCAGGAGGAAGACAAACCAAGTTACATTATTCTTGTCAGAAGAGAAGGAAGCATAATGAGTTTTTTAAAAAGAAGAAAGCTTCTTTCTGGGATTGAATTGTGAAATAACTATATTTCTAAAGGACGATGCCTTCAGTGAGTTTTTCATCAAATTCAAACCTGCTCTAAATATGTTGCTTTTTTTTTTGTTTCTAACACTCAGTAAAATGCAAGGAGCTTAATACTAAAGCATATCTCAGCGTTCAGGTATGTCCCTTCCTGTGATGAATCTGAAGCTAGGTTAATACATGGAAGGCCTAGAAGAATGGGGATGAGTATGTAAGTGTGTATGCACGAGGCAGGTACTCACAGAACCTATGCATAGATAACCACAGAGCTACTCAATTCAACAAACATTTGTCGAAGTCCTATAGGGCACTGGCTGTTGAAGGTATAGGTTCCTATTCTTAAGACGCTATTTATTCATTGCTTTCTCCAGCTGCTACTTTTTCTAGAGCTGCAGATCTAGAAAAGTCCATCAAACAAACAAAAACAACAAAAAAACCCACACCAGGTCAGGTGTCCTGGTTTATCTGAAGTGTCCTTATTTGAAATAAAAGAGAGCAAACACAAACAACTAAGAATTAGAATTATCATGGTGTTACAGAGGTGATAGCTACATTGAATTGTTGAGGAAGGCCTGCGACCTGGACTCTGTTGGCCCAGCTGTGATCTGGCTGCAGAACCAGCACTTAAAAGCCTTGAGTTCTCTTTTGATATTCAGTAATCTCACTTTTTTTTTTTTCTCTCTCAGCTTAGATTAAGCTTCTTATGTGTCCCTCGGTGCCTATCTCAAGGCTAATCCAGCTTTGGTCTTCCAGTGGCAAGATGGCTTGGAGGACTTCTTTCTAGGGACAGAAGTTTCTGGATGACTAGAGTCAGGGGTGCTGTAGGGGGGACCCCAGGGTCACCTGGAGGCTAGAAGAAATGGCCCTTGAGGACTCTCTGTCCTGAGAGTCTATGATTCCAAAATCCAGGCCCAAGTCCTATCACCGGGGACTTGCTGAGGTTATGGCAGGAGCCCAGCATGCCAGAGCTGGACGGGACCTCAGGCTCCTCCCTCCAGTTCTCCTCTGGAGAAACTGAGGCCCGGGAGGGACTGCCCTTCTAGACAGTGGCTCAGTCAAGACACGCCCATTGTTAGTTACAGTGAGCACTTTGGGAGCATCTTTTGTGTGCCCAGGACTGTGTGAGGTGACATAAGGGGTAGCAGAAAGCTAGTGCCCTGTAAAGAACCTTTACAACCTTTTATGGGAGAAAGTCATGCCCCCAAATTCAAGAAGGCCTACAAACTGTATCCGAACAAAGTGAGCAAATGATTTGTGAGGACAGAGGCTGGTTAATCCAAGCATCCTGGTGGGTGTGGGCATGAGTCAGCCTTTCAAGGAAGAGATAGGTTGTGTGGGAGGTCAGGAGGCCTTTGGTGTAGGCAAAGGCAAGGTGGTAGGACTCAGTATGCAGGATAGGAGAGACAGAAAGTTCTGAAAGGATTGAGGAACTATTACTGGGAGTTACACCTGGACGGAAAAACAGGAGCTCCCAGAGGAGGGAGGGAAGGACATTCCAAGCAGAGGGAACAACATGGGCCAAGGCAGGATGATGAACAGGTATATGGGGTGTTCACGGGAAGGGGGCTGGGTAGGTGTGGGAGGCTGTGAGCCAAAGGCCTTTAACGCCAAGCGCAGGAGTTTGGTGAGGAAAGCAGGTGGGAAGTGGGACTGTGGCAGTTTTCTGGGCAGGAATGACAGGTGATTAAAATGGGCCTCTGAGTTACCCCATGGAACTGTGCAGCTATTCCCTTGAGGTTTCCCACAGAAGGAATTAGAGCAGAATCATCTAGGTGACTGTACGCAACAGAGTACTAGTCGGTGAAGTAGGACATCTAGCTTTAAAGGCAAGTTTGCACCCATCCACTAGTTTTTGTGAAAGAAACGCTTCTGATTTTGATGGTGCACCGGTGTCCTCCTGCAAAAGAGAAATCCTGACTTTCTTTCCAACACAGTATTTTCATCCTGCTCTTGATGCTCTGATGAAGCAGACAGGCTTCCATGTTTCTCAGCTGAATATGTTTGTCATAAAAGCCTCCTGCCGGCCCCGGTCCAGCCACCGTGGTTGTTACTGTGTCTGCTGCTGCAGCTTGGCAGCAGCGGGCAAGCTCCGTGCGGACGAGAGCGGGCCTCTCGGATTTCCTTCTCACTGCAGCCTACCTCTGTGCTGGCTCCTGGCCCCTTGCCGGCTCTGCGGGACCTGGGCTTTGCTTACCTGCGAGGCAGGTGGGCTCTTCCTTGGGAGACATTTAATCCCTAAGGCCATGGGTCAGCCCTGCCCAGGACCCATCCTGAATGGCATGTCTTTGGTCCTTCCCAGCCATTGCCCTGGGCTCTTAACAGAGTGTTCAATGGGAGAGAGTGGGGTGCCAGGGTGAGGGGGGTGTCAGGAAGGAGCCGAGGACCCCCATCTCTCTTTTCCCATGGTGACACCTCAGACGACTCCTATCTCCACACTATTTACAGCTGAGAGCCAGGCTGGCACTCAGGTCCTGTAAATCTGCCACTGAAGCTCTCTTCACTTAATGAAATCTGAATTGCAGCCTCCAGGTTAAGGCAGTTGTGTGGTAGAGTAACATGTTTAAAAGCAGAAAACATCCCTTCCTGGGAAAGTCACTTTTTTACTACATTCTCAAGGAAGACCTTTCTAACAGGCACCCCAGACACAGCACATACACCCCAAATCAATTTCATCATCTTCCCCCAAAACCATCTTGGGAAAGGGCACTACTTTCCTCGCGGCCATCCAAGCCAGAAACCTCTACCTCTATGCACTACCCCCAGCCCAGCCAGCCCCCTCCTCACCAGCCACCTTGCCGTGCCCTTTGTCAAGCCCTCATCACATTTACCGGGCATCCTGAAACGTCCTCGGGCCCTGCAGCTCCTCTAGCTCCTCCAGGGCGGGCATCTCACGCAGCGCTCATCCCAAAGCTTGTCCCACCGCTCTGCTTAGAACCCTTTCTGTGTTCCGACTGCTCTCAGGTTAAACTCCTTGACACGGCTTCTAAGTCCCTTAGTAACCGTAGCTGATACTTACATGGCACTTACTGCGTGCCAGGCCTGCTCTGAACACTTCAATCTTACTAACTCCTGTAACGTTACCAACAACCAGTTGAGGCAGGTGCTGTCGTCATCCCCATCCTACAGTAAGGAGACAGAGGCCTAGAGAAGTAGGTAAGGTTACCCGCTGTCCATGGGCGGAAGTGGGACTTGTCCCGGCAGTCTGGCCCCAGAACCTGTGCTCTCCACCTCCTCTCTGGGAGAGGCCCTGCCAGACTCATCTCTTGACACCCCAACAAGCCATCTTCTTGCCCTACTGGTACCAACCGGTCCAGGTAGCTGGAGTGCCTCCCAGTGACCCAGGCAAAAGCCTCCCTTTAGAGGACTGTTACTCCTAATGCTCCCCGTACTTTCCCACCGTCTATCCCTTTATCGTTTCTCAGTGTACAACTTACCCGCCGTCCTTGGAAAATCTGACCACTTCGTTCATTGTGCCTCTCATACTTGATAGAGATCTACCAGGGTACTTGTGATGTTTTATCAGATTTCTTGTAGGTATATCTCAGTCCCCTGTTAATCTTTATTTCTGGTACCTGTGCTTGGCACATCATGTCAATGCTGTTGAATATAAAATGCTCCCCAAAGACATGATGGAGGTGTAAAGCTTGGTGGGAAGTGTTGGAGGGAGCTCAAGCCTCGAATGGGGGTTGGTCCAGATGACTCGAGATTCCTTCCGGCTCTGACAATAAACGAGTCTCTGGCAGTTGCAATGATAAGCAACGTGGAGGAGTTCGCTTTAATGAATGTAAAAAGCAGGTTGATTTGAAGAAGGATATTGGGAGACCTGGCTTCTGCTCCCAGTTGCATCTCTTATTCACTGTGACTTGAGGCAAGTTACTTCCCTCTTGGCCTCAATTTCCTTCATTATTTAAATGGAAAGAAAAAAAGAAAACCTGAATAAGTGGGTGCCTTTCCCTTCTCCCCATCCAGTCCCTGCAAAAGCCAGTGGCAGGGGGACCCTGCACAGGTGCAGCCCAGTGTGCATACTGAG